GTCTTTACTTAGGGTCCTTCCACACAGCCTTATAATTTATTTATTTATTTACAGTATTTATATTCCGCTCTTCTCATCCTGCAGGACACTCAGGGTGGATTACAATGTACTTTGTACATGGGTTGTTGTAGGTTTTTTGGGCTATATGGCCATGTTCTAGAGGCATTCTCTCCTGACATTTTGCCTGCATCTATGGCAAGCATCCTCAGAGGTAGTGAGGTCTGTTAGAGCTGGCAAGCATTTAATGCCATGGACACACAACATATATAGACAGGCACACAGAGGCTATTTAACATTCCAGCTTTTGATGAGGGTATCCTGGTCACCAGGGGAGTGTCGCTTCAACGTCCATTTGTGACACTGATGGAGTACTTCCTCATTCTTTACATGCTTGCTGGAGATTTTTATGGTGTCATAAACTAGTAAAATTAGCCTAAATTTCCTACTTGACAGATGCAACTGTCTTTCGGGCTGCAAAGGTCAACAGCAAGCTACACAAATTGGTCGGAAGCTCAGTCCGACCTGGGCTGGCTTTGAACTCATGACCTTTTGGTCAGTAGTGATCTTAATGCAGCTGACTCCGAGCCAGCTGCATCACAGTCACAATATCTGCTTTGAACTGGGTTATCTGAGTCCACACTGCCATATAATCCAGTTCAAAGCAGATAATGTGGGATTCAAAGCAGATAATGTGGGAGTTTATACAGCTATGTGGAAGAGGCCTTAGTCCCCATCTATACTGCCAAATAAAATCCAGATTATCTGGTTTGAACTGGATTATATAGATGAATATTACCCAGTTCAAAGCAGATTTTATTTGGCAGTGTAGATGGGGGCCTTAAATATCTTGGAGTGCCCTGGGGTAGCATTGCATTGGGTACTCTGGTGGGTTGGGAAAATTACAATGCCATCTTCAAGCCAAGAGAGGAACATGCCTGCTATAGGCCCACAAAAGCTGATCAATTTTTGAAAGGGAACTTTGTCCAGCAGCCCTTCAAATGTTGATCCAATCCCGAGGTAAGCCCTTGGCACGATTCTCCTTTCATGACAAAACAATGTGAAAAGGAAACTTGTCCAAGGCTATGAAATAAGTTCACAAACACTGTTTAAGGAGCTCCATTGGTTGCCGTTCATTTTCCAGTCTCAATTCAAGGTGCAGGTTCTCACCTACAAAGCCCTGAACGGTTTGGGACCCTCCCGCCTGCCTGCATGACTGCATTTCTGTGTACGAACCCACACAATCTCTTCGATCATCTGGAGAGGCCCTGCTCGTGCTCCTGCCTCCTTCGCAGGCATGATTGGTGGGGACGAGGGAGAGGGCCTTCTCGGTGGTGGCCCCCCGACTCTGGAACTCACTTCCCAAGGACATCAGGCATGCCCCAACATTGGCAGTCTTTAGGAGGAGTCTGAAAACATGGCTGTTCCAGTGTGAAAATGCTGGTTTTGACCTACAAAACCCTGTACGGTTCCGGTCCAGTGTATCTGTCCGAACGTATCTCCCTCTACGTCCCACCCCGGAGTCTGAGATCATCTGGGGAGGCCCTGCTCTCGACCCCACTGCTATCACAAGTGAGGTTGGTGGGGACGAGGAGCAGGGCCTTCTCAGTGGTGGCCCCTCACCTGTGGAACTCACTCCCAGGAGAAATTAGGGCATCAACATCCCTCCTCTCCTTCAGGAGGAAAGTAAAGACGTGGTTGTGGGACCAGGCCTTTGGGCAATCTGACAACTAGATAAGGACAATCAAACGACTAGGACCGACAGGACTGACAATGTGGAATTGGAATTTGGACTATGAGATAGCGAATGCTGACCGTCTATGAGGAGTAATTAGGTTTGTATCAATGTTATTGGTTTTATTGGTTTTAGGGCTGTAATGCAGGAATTGTTGCTTAACTGTTTCAACTGTTTAATTGATGTTATTTTGTGTTACTACTGTTATGTGATATTGGCATCGAATTGTGCCTTTGTAAGCCACCCTGAGTCCCCTTCGGGGTGAGAAGGGCGGGGTAGAAGAAACTGAAATAAATAAATAAATAAATAAAAATGAATGTCCCTCAGTTTTGCCTCCGACAATACAGACGCGAGGACTCCTTCTCAAATGAATGACTCCTCCAAGGGCTGTTAAAACAACACTTTATTAAAACCATTTTTAAAATATGTGGGTGTTTCATCTCTCCCAGGATAGAGGCAGCAGCCTAGGCCCTTATCCTCATATGCCCTTCTCCAAAGAAGCTTTCATCCACCCACCCTTCTGTGACACACCCCCAAAGTCCTATGCAGCCACCCAAAGATGGTACTGCATTAGTAAACATGTGACTGTTAGCACCAGGCAGAGTCATAGGCTGGAGTGAGTGTGAAGGGTCGCAAATGGTCTTTCAGAGATGTGAGTACTTTCGTCTCCCTGGAGAAGGTAGTCACTCACCGAGTGGGGAAGGGAGGCAGAGGAGGGTGAGGAGGTTAATCTCTGCCAAGATGCTTGCTTACATATGGAGTTAGAGGAAAAGTGGGACTGGCTGGTGGGTGGAGTGAATTGATGAAGTGAAGCAAGGGGAAAGTTATCTGAACTGTGCATTCAAAACAATTGGAGAAAAGTGTTGCTATTACCATGGCTTCCCTGTCCACAGCACTGCTCAAAAGTGTACTTCAGAGAGAGTGCTGAAAATCTTCATCAGTGACCATTTTGGAAAGCCAAGAGAGTAGAACAGGTTTGAAACGAGATGCTGGTCTATACAGTGAACACAGCTCCCCCAGGGACAACATATAGAGGTCTTCTTGTTCTGCTTTAAAGGATAAAGGTAAAGGTTTTCCCCTGACATTAATAGCCGGAATCACTGGGTTGTTGTAGGTTTTTTCAGGCTATATGGCCATGTTCTAGAGGCATTCTTTCCTGACGTTTTGCCTGCATCTATGGCAAGCATCCTCACAGGTAGTGAGGTCTGTTGGAACTAGGAAAATGGGTTTATATATCTGTGGAAAGACCAGGGTGGGACTCTAGAGGTTGGTGCTCATATCCATTTCTAAGCCGAAGAGCCAGCATTGTCCATAGACACCTCCAAGGTCATGTGGCTGGCATGACTGCAAGGAGCACTGGAATAACCACTACCCCCCAAAACAGCTCTCAGAGGTTCTGTGTCAAAAGTCTCCAAACCTACTAAATTCAATGTATTGTTGAAGGCTTCAATGGCCAGAATCACTGGGTTGTTGTAGGTTTTTTCAGGCTATATGGCCATTTTCTAGAGGCATTCTTTCCTGACGTTTTGCCTGCATCTATGGCAAGCATCCTCAGAGGTAGTGAGGTCTGTTGGAACTAGGAAAATGGGTTTATATATCTGTGGAATGACCAGGGTGAGACAAAGGACTTTTGTCTGCTTGAGCTAGGTGTGAAGGTTTCAACTGACCACCTTGACCACCTTGATTAGCATATAATGGCCTGACAGTGCCTAGAGCAAACTTTTGTTGAGAGGTGATTAGATGTCCTTGTTTGTTTCCTCTCTGTTGTTGTGCTGTTGTAATTTTAGAGTTTTTTAAGGTGGGACAAAGAACTCTTGTCTGTTGGGGTTAGGTGTGAATGTTTCAACTGACCACCTTGATTAGCATTTGATGGCCTGGCAGTTGTTTGGTGTGGCTTGTTAGTGCCTGGGGTAGTCTTTTGTTGAGAGGTTGTTAGATGTCCTTGATTGTTTCCTCTCTGTTGTTTTGCTGTTGTAATTTTAGAGGTTTTTTAAAATACTGGTAGCTAGATTTTGTTCATTTTCATGGTTTCCTCCTTTCTGTTGAAATTGTCCACATGCTTGTGTATTTCAATGGCTTCTCTGTGTAGTCTGACATGGTGGTTGTTCGAGTGGTCCCTCTTGTCCTTTGTCACTTCTGCAGGAGTCTACTGTATACCATGCAGCTGTGGCCAAGTCTACATAAGGACCACCAAACACAGAATTGCCCAAACACGAATCAAGGAACACGAAAGGCACTGCAGACTACTTCAACCAGAGAAATCAGCCATAGCAGAGCAACTGATGAACCAACCTGGACACAGCATATTATTTGAAAACACAGAAATGCTGGACCACTCGAACTACACAGACTACACAGAGATGCCATTGAAATCCATACTGAAATCCATACTCCCTCCTGACCTTCAGGAAACTAATAAAGACCTGGCTTTGGAACGTGGCATTTGAGGACTGAGTCTATACCCTTCGTCCACATGGAAGGAGGATGATGAACTGTGACAGTGACTGTGACTGTATTGATGACTTGGTTTGGGTAATGTGATGATGATGTTTTTACTGTACTTATATTTTAATCTGTAATGATGATGCACTGTGTTGTTTTGTATATGATTGTGTATGAACACATGTTGTGAACCGGCCTGAGTCCCTCGTTCGAGGTGAGAAGACTGATATATAAAACTTCTAAATAAATAAATAAATAAGCATGTGGACAATTTCAACAGAAAGGAGGAAACCATGAAAATGAACAAAATCTGGCTACCAATAACTCTAAAATTACAACAGCAAAACAACAGAGAGGAAACAATCAGGGACATCTAATCACCTCTCAACAAAAGATTGCCCCAGGCACTGCGAGGCCATCAAATGCTAATCAAGGTGGTCAGTTGAAACATTCACACCTAGCTCCAACCCTGGTCATTCCTCAGATATATAAACCCATTTTCCTAGTTCCAACAGACCTCTCTACTTCTGAGGATGCTTGCCATAGATGCAGGCAAAACGTCAGGAGAGAATGCCTCTAGAACATGGCCATATAGCCTGCAAAAACCTACAACAACCCTACTAAATTTCTTCAGCCTTCAATCCTTCCTTCCTACTAGTAGTATTGGGCCTGGGACTATTTGTTCTGCTTTAGCCACATGCAAATAGTCCCAGGCCCAATACTACTGGTAGGAAGGCAGGACTGAAGGCTGAAGGAATTTAGAGGCTTGGAGACCTTTGACACCGAACCTCTGAGCGCTGTATTGGGGGGCAGTGGTTGTTCATTTTAGTCAGAGTTTCAGCCACAATCCCAACCCGTTTTATATAGAGGGGGTCAACAAAAAAATTGCTCTGGAGCACATGCAGGCTCAGAACCTATTTCCTTCAGTGCTGGACAATCACATCACCTGGGATTAAGAATATAGAGACTATATGAAGTGAATGTAGGAGGCTAAGCAAGATTTCTATTAATAGGTGGGTTAGATCACTCACTTGTCTAGATTGTATTATTTTCTGTTCCAACCAGCAGTGGCACTAGCTTTCTAAGGTCTCAGCCAAAGGGTTTCCCAGTATCTGCTGGTGCAATTTTCCTTCATCGGAGGCCATCGATTGTGCCTAGACAACTTTGCTCTTCCTTTATATAAAGGAACACGATTGAGGTTCAGAATAAGGTAGTAAGAAGAATCTGTCTGCATAATAATCTTAGATACTCTCACCCCTATACTTTTTGGCCTTGCCCTTGATTTTAAAGAGGTTGCAAGCAAGAAATTAGTTTTACATTCTTGCCATTGGTTGCCCTTCCTTTTCTAGATTCTATTCATTGGTAGCCATTCCTTCTCAGACTATACGACATCATTGCCTGATTTCCCATGGATGTCTACAATCTATTTTGTTTAGAGAGCACTAGAGCACCTTCATAAAACCACCCTTTTTATCCCCTCTGCAGCTCAAAACCTCAGTTCCTAAACAATTCCTGACTTGTACCTTGGAATCAGAAAGATTTGTGTCTTTTTGAGCACTGAATTCTGAATTCTCAACCTAATTTCTCACAACTTGTTGGCCGCTGGTTTTCATCTGGACAAAAAACTAGGTCAAAACGCTCACTCAACCCCTTCTAATCATAAAACTACAAGAAAGGAGATTCCAACTGAACATGAGGAAGAACTTCCTGACTGTGAGAGCTGTTCAGCAGTGGAACTCTCTGCCCCGGAGTGTGGTGGAGACTCCTTCTTTGGAAGCTTTTAAACAGAGGCTGGATGACTATCTGTCGGGGGTGCTTTGAATGCAATTTTCTTGCTTCTTGGAAGAATGGGGTTGGACTGGATGGCCCATGAGGTCTCTTCCAACTCTATGACTTCCAACTCTATGACTTCCAACTCTATGACCCCATGCTATGATTCTATAACCTCACGCTCCACCACAAAATACTAGTTGATATCTCCTTACCTTGACTAACTCAGAAAAAGCACCTATTCTTCTCATTAGAGGAGACATATTTTGGTGGTGAAAGATACCTTATAGATCAACATGGAAGAGCAAGATGCCACTGCAAGGAGAAAGAGAGTAAGAAGCCAAGCTCTGGTTGACGTCTCAAGAGTATCCACTCCCCAGAAGATGCTCACACCAGCCTCTCATAGCAAGATAGGCCCTTGCAAGTGTTGTAAACTCCCGGACACCCTATGGGGCGTCCTTTCTCTCTGTCTGTCTCCAACCCTCCCCAAGTTATGTCACGGATTCATTATCACAGAATCAGAAATATGTCATGACAATCAGTAATTCCGATCCCAGGAAAGTCCAAGAAAGAGTGTGGGAAATTAGGAGTGTAAGAAGAGGTTTAGGTTCCCACCCCCAACAAAAGCCCAATCCCATTGCAAGAAGACCAGGAACGCCTCCTCTGGTCAGACTTCACTGGTGACTGACCGGGAGGGAATGAGGACATCAGGGGTGGTGGGGAAGAGGCATAGCTGGGGGTCAGGTGATCTCTGTGGACACAGCTCTGTGATTCTGTATCAGAGAGAGAGGAGGCAAAACAAGAAAAGAAAAGAGAGTATTAGATCTGTCTTTCAAAACAGAATCAGGACATTTTACAGCTCACTATGACATTTCTAGTTGTTTTATCCCAGGGCAACAGAATTCATACATGGAAAAGATTAAGGGTCTACTTCCCCAAGAAAGTCAGTCATACTAGAGCAGTGTTTCTCAACCTGGGGGTCGGGACCCCTGAGCGGGTCGTGAGGGGGTGTCAATGGGGTTGCCAAAGACCATCAGAAAACACAGTATTTTCTGTTGGTCATTGGGATTCTGTGTGGGAAGTTTGACCCAATTCTATTGTTGGTCAAGTTCAGAAGGTTCTTTGATTGTAGGTGAACTATAAATCCCAACAGGATACCGTGGTCGACAGTATCGAAGGCCGCTGACAGGTCCAGCAGCGGTGACCAGGGGAGCATTCGCACAGTTAAAGCTTGTGCGCCAGCTGCACCCGTACCTTGGGAAGTCTGACTTTGGCCACGGTAGTCCACGCTCTTGTTACATCCCGTTTAGACTACTGCAACGCTCTCTACGTGGGGTTGCCTTTGAAGACGGCTCGGAAGCTTCAATTGGTCCAGCGTGTGGCAGCCATGATACTAACAGGGGCGGCACACAGGGAGCATACAACCCCTCTGTTGCGCCAGCTCCATTGGCTACCAATTTGCTACCGGGCCCAATTCAAAGTGCTGGCTTTGGCCTATAAAGCCCTAAACGGTTCTGGCCCAAGTTACCTATCCGATCGCATCTCCACCTACGAACCCACTAGGACTTTGAGATCTTCCGGGGAGGCCCTGCTCTCGATCCCGCCTGCAACACAGGTGCGGCTGGCGGGGACGAGAGACAGGGCCTTCTCGGTGGTGGCCCCTCGGCTGTGGAACGCCCTTCCCACGGACATCAGATTGGCCCCCTCATTGATGGTATTCCGGAGGAAAGTGAAAACCTGGTTATTTGAACAGGCGTTTGAATAAGCAGTGCAATGAATTTCAGGAAATGGAACTACGACTGACGACTTTGGATCATGATTCTAGTTATGAGACGCCACTGAATGTTTATTACTGTTAAATTGTTTAATTTGTTTCTGTGTTAACTGTTTTTAAGTACCTTGTTGATGCCGCATTGAATTTTTGCCTTGATTGTTCGCCTTGTTTTTGCTTGTTGTAAACCGCTATGAGTCGCCTTAGGGCTGAGAATGGCGGTATACAAATGAAATAAATAAATAAATAAATAAATAAACAACTACAACTCCCAAATGTCAAGGTCTATTTTTCCCAGACTCCACCAGTGTTCACATTTGGGCATAATGAGTATTTGTGCCAAGTTTGGTCCAGATCCATCATTGCATGAATCCACAGCACTCCTCTGGATATAGGTGAACTACAACTCCCAAACTCAAGGTCAATGCCCACCAAACCCTTCCAGTGTTATCTAATAGTCATGGGAGTTCTGTGTGCCAAGTTTGATGTAAATCCATCGCTGGTGGAGTTTAGAATGCTCTTTGATTATAGGTGAACTATAAATCCCAGCAACTACAACTCCCAAATTACAAAATCAATCCTCCCCCCAACCCCACTAGCATTCACATTTGGGCATATTGGGTATTTGGGCTCAATTTAGTCCAGTGAATGAAAATACATCCTGCATATCGGATATTTACATGACGATTTATAACAATAGTAACATGACAGATACCAAGTAGCCACGAAAACAATATTATGGTTGGGGGTCACCACAACATATAAAACTGCATTAAGGGGTCACGGCATTAGCAAGGTTGAGAACCACTGCACTAGAGCCAAAGAGACCACACATAACACAGGCAGAATCAAGTCTTCTTTTAAAATATCTATACTTTATGTGTGTGTCTATATTTTAAGGAAGTGTGTTTCTAAACCCCCTCAAGGTTGCATCTTTAAATGTCCAGATTGAACATTTGGTTGTTGGCTTTGAGAAAACTAACAGTTAGAGAAAATATTACAAAAGATGCATCCACACTGTGGAATTCATTGGTGTCCATCTACACCAGGCATGGGCAAACTTTGGCCTCCAGGTGATTTGGACTTCAGCTTCCACAATTCATAACAGCCTACCAACTTATGAACCATCTAGGACCTTAAGATCATCTGGGGAGGCCCTGCTCTCATTACCGCCTTTGTACGTTTGGCGGAGACGAGAGACAGGGCCTTCTTGGTGGTGGCTCCTCGGCTGTGAAATGCCCTCCCTTTAGATATTAGATTGGCCACCTCCCTTTTAACATTCCGGAACAAAGTCAAGACATGGCTTTTTGAACAAGTGTTTGCAAATGTAGAGTAACTGACATAGGAAAATGGAACGACTAGACCAGGGATCCTCAAACTTTTTAAACCGAGGGCCAGGTCACAGTCCCTGAAAGTGTTGGAGGGCCGGATTATAATTTGAAAAAAAATGAATGAATTACTATTTGTAGTACAAAAAACACTTTAAAGCAATACAATAATTAAAATGAAGAACAATTTTAGCAAATATAAACTTATTAGTATTTCAATGGGATCTGTCAGCCTGTTTTTGGCTGATGAGATAGGATTGTTGTTGCTGTCGTGTGCTTTCAAGTTGTTTCAGACTTAAGTTGGCCCTGAGCGAGGGCCGGGTAAATGACCTAGGAGGGCCGTATCTAATAATAATAATAATAATAATAATAATAATAATAATTTGTAAGCCGCATCGAGTCCTTCGGGAGATGCTAGCGGGGTACAAATAAAGTTAATAATAATAATAATCCTTTATTTGTACCCCACTACCATCTCCCGAAGGTCTCGGTGCGGCTTACAAGAGACCAAGCCCAAATACAACAATAAAACAGCAGCAACAACAACAACACAATAACTCAAAAACAAAGCAATAACAATTAACAACACTCAATGACGCAATTAAAAACAATGGCCGGGCCAAATGTAACAATTCAAATTAAAAGTGCTGGACATGACAAGGTGGGGTGTTTGGAGGGTGTTTGTGTGTGTCGGACCTTAGTTTGAGGACCCCTGGACTAGACGATGAGTCTGGACAATGTTTTTAACAAGGCGACACTATGAATTTATATTTTATTGATTGTTTAGTTTTTATTATATGTTATGTTTTTAATTGTATTTATGACATTGTAAGCATTTGATTTTTTCCCCCTGTTAACTGCCTTGAGTCACCTACGGGCTGAGAAAAACAGTAAATAAATACATACATACATACATACATAATTGTGGGAGTTGAAGTTGTTGTTGTTGTTGGAGTTGAAGTCCAAAAACACATGGAGGGCCAAGGTTTGCCCACGTCTGATATACACTGTAAATCAACACCACTTTAACTGTCGTGTCTTAATAGTATGGAATCATTAAAGCTTTTCATTTTCTCTGCCAAAGAGTCCTAGTGTCTTACCAAACTATACATTCCAGGATTCCATAGCATTGAGCAATGGGAGTTAAAGTGGTGTCAAACTGCATTAATTCTACAGTACAGATTCACCTCTAATTCACCTCTGGATTTGCTCACACTCTTGGCTCCGATGCTGAACTCAAAATTTGGAGTAAGGTGGAGTGCTGACACACTCAAACAATCTTGGTCAAGGGTGTAAGAAGAGGTTTAGGTCCTATCTTGGTCTATCTTGGTCAAGGGTGCAATTCTCATCTTTCTGCAGCATGCCAGGTACAGGATGGTGCAGCCAAAGCAAGCAGGGTATCATCAACACACATGCTTAAGCTCAGGAGACAAGATGCACAGGATGGCAGCGAGGTGAGTATCGGAAGTAAGTTTGGCTTCACAGAGAACTCACTGGAGAAAACCTACAGCTACGAATTACATGGTACATGGTACAGCTACAGCCCATGCTACCAGGGCTCCTGCTGTCCACTGAATTGTAAAAAGACAACTCTTGCCCAAGGAAGGATATTTCAAACAGTCAAGACTTCATATTTGAGAGTTTTATTATTTACAGATTTTGTTCTGTAATTTCTACATCCTCCTATACAGCTCTGTGGTCAAATTCTTTTTGGAGTCTTTTTGGAAAACCTAGGGATTCCTATTAATACTGTTTTTTTTCTCAGTTCTTGTGGTTTTTTTCGGGCTATATGGCCATGTTCTAGAGGCATTTCTCCTGACGTTTCGCCTGCATCTATGGCAAGCTTCCTCAGAGGTGAGGCACCTCTGAGGAAGCTTGCCATAGATGCAGGCGAAACGTCAGGAGAAATGCCTCTAGAACATGGCCATATAGCCCGAAAAAACCCACAAGAACTGAGTGATTCCGGCCATGAAAGCCTTCGACAATACTGGTTTTTTTTTACTGTTTTAATGAATGTTTTACTCTCTCTCTCTCTCTCTCTATATATATATATATATAATAGGCTGGGCGGTTTCGTTTCGTTAATTCGTAATTCGTTAATAATTCGTTAATTTTTTCAATTACAAAACAATAACGAACCATTCTGGAGCAATTATTAAAAAAACGAATTTTCAAAAACGTTTTGTAAATGCTTCGTATTTCGATATTGTATTCGTTTCGTTATTGTTTTGAGGTCGTTTCGTTATTATTTCCGCATGTCTGGGCCAGTTTTATGGTTTAATTAGTGAAAAAAAATTATAATATCACACCAACAGTCAACAACAGAGGGAGAGGGAAGCTTCAGAAGTTTTTGGAGGTTTTTTAGCGCATTTCGCGGTCGCGTCCGCCATTAACGAATCGATTCGTTATTGTTTCGGAAATCGATTCATTAATTTTTTACCATTTACGAAATTTCGTAAATATCGAACTTTTTAAAAGGAAAATTTTGTAATTATTTTAAATATCGAAACAAAAAAAACCCCAAATACAAATCGATTTTAGAAACAAATTTTTCCGTTGTTACCCAGGCCTAATATATAATTGTTTTAATTGTTATTATATTGTTGCGTTATATGTAATGGCATCAAATTGCTGCCAAATGTAAGCTGTCCTGAGTCCCCCTTTGGGGGTTGAGAAGGAACGGGATCGAAATACCAGAAATAAATAAATAAATAAATAAATAAATAAATAAAATAATTCCTAGAAAGATGGTTAAAAATAGCATTTAGCAGTTTCCCCACCTTAATGGGGGGGGGGGGGCGTTCCCTTCATCCCAGTGAAAATGGAGTGTTGACTGTACTGCTGAATTGCTGGGCCTCTTTTTTTTTTGGAGAGGTGATAATATAAAATACAAGAATGAACACAATAAAAAAAACATTAAAATGAAAACAGTTACAGAATAGAGCCAAATGGAGAGCCACCAGCAAGAGACAACAGCAGTGTAAAGAACTAAGGACAAAAAAACCCAAATACTGAAATGAAGGGGACTCTCTGGGATCTAGATCCCAAGACTGCAGTGTAGATGGCATTCTGGACAGATTCAACCAAGCTGTCTTCTCTTCCATCACTATCCACTTCTCTGATTTTCTGTTAAGGACCATGGACAGATTTGTATATTTTGAACCACTCTTGTTAAAATTCTGACATGGAATAATTTGAACGTTTGAATGGGAAATTACTTTTCAGAGTCTGAGCAGTCCTGAGACATTCAAAGGCCTGCAATAGCTTAAATGTCTAATGTCACTGAACAAAATGTAAATGAATGAATAACAAGGTAAAAGGACTGTCTGTTTGATGCTCTGCCAAGGGAGCGGTCAGAGGTAATCCTGACTTCCTTTCATTTCCAGATTTACTTGTAATTTACTTTACTTTACAAAAGGAAAACCCAAGACAATTATGACTGTATCCACTTTAAGAGGAAGGGAAGTATGTCTAATTTGAAAATCAAGCGGATGAGCCCTACAAAAAAAGACTTTGGGAACATAGGCTGATAGTACAAATTGCTTGGCCTTTGACAATACAATAATAACAATAATTTAAAAGGTAATATATATTACATTATCTAATGGTTAAAATCCAGACAATGTAAAAGGTTGTTGTAAGTTTTTTCGGGCTATATGGCCATGTTCTAGAGGCATTCTCTCCTGACGTTTCGCCTGCATCTATGGCAAGCATCCTCAGAGGTAGTAAAAGGTGTTGAAGCAGTTTAAAATAGTGTCAACCATAACATATGAGCAAACTAGATATGATCAATTTGACCAAAGGGCTTTAATAACAAACCATATGTTGACTTGCTGAAATGGTCCCATTGTTGCTACCAATGAGGCAACCTAGGGAACGGCATTCCACAACTGAGGTGCCACGCAGATAAGGCTCTCTCACATTTCCTCTTACAATGTATTATCTCAGTTTGGTGAGGCATAAATAAGTGACTTTTGAACAAACCTCAGTTCTCTGGTAGGCACAAATATGGAGTGAGGCACTGCATCAAGTATCATGGTCCTAAGGATTTAAATGTTATCTCCAACATCGTGAATTGAGAAGCATATTGGCAGCCAATGTAATTACTTTAAATAACACTTTTATCTGTTTTACTTCTATCTTTGTAACTGTTTTCACCTGTATGCAAAGGGATCTTGTAGCACCTTAAGAAGCCAAGTTGGCAGCATAAGCTTTCGTAGACTTTTGAGTGTTGACTTTTGTATGCTGCCGGAGCATCATACAGGGAGCAAACCACCCCTCTGTTATGTCAGCTCCACTGGCTGCTGATCCAGTTCCGAGCACAATTCAAAGTGCTGGTCTTGATCTACAAAACCCTATACGGCTCCGGCCCAGCGTACCTGTCCAAACGCATCTCCCTCTACGTCCCACCTCGGAGTTTGAGATTTTCTGGGGAGGCCCTGCTCTCGACCCCACCTCTATCACAAGTGAGATTGGTGGGGACGAGGAGCAGGGCCTTCTCGGTGGTGGCTCCTCACCTGTGGAATTCACTCCCCGGGGAAATTAGATCATCGACATCCCTCCTCTCTTTCAGAAGGAAATTAAAAACATGGTTGTGGGACCAGGCTTTCAGGCAATCTGGCGGTTAGATAAGAACAATGACAACCAGAATCGATAGTACTTGACGATGTGGAATGAATTTACGGACTCTGAGATGGCGAACGCTGAGCATTAGATTGTTTTTATTGTTTTTATTGATTTTGATGTATAAACTGACTGTCTTAATTGTTATAATTGCTGTTTACATGTTTTATCCATTGTTATGTTTATGCTGGCATCGAATTGTGCCTTTGTAAGCCGCCCTGAGTCCCCCCTCGGGGGTTGAGAAGGGCGGGGTAGAAATGCGCGAAATAAATAATAATAAATTGTTACCACCCTATTGAGAAAAAGGTCACCGGCACCCTGACCTTTTCATCTGCCTGTGCCATCCACACTTCCCAAAGGCCAGGTTGCTTTTCCTGATACGAGCTATACCATCCATGTTGACCACAACTCCAAGTCTTGACTTCCCAGCACAAATGCAATTCTCCCTTTGGGAGATGCCATCAAAGGGGAAGGGGTGGCATTCCAGAAGGGATCCAACCCCTGACCAAAAAAAAAGGAATCCCATCCACCACCACCTCCTCCAGGACCAGGCACTTACTCGTAGGGGCGGGCCATCGCCACACTGCCGGGAGCTGCCAGGCGGAGAGATCGGGCTAGCTGCCTTTCCAGGCCTCTTGTGAGTAGCGTGGAGAACTCCTGTTCTTCTGGGGGGTCCCTCACCTGCTACATCCCCCCCACCCCAAGGGGAGCAGCACCAGGGCAAGGAAGCAGGAGGGGAGGGAGCAGGAGGCAGACATGGATGGATGGGAGAGAATGACACAGAAATTGGAACAATTAGCTAGTTGCTTAACAGGTGCCACTTGGAGAGGGAAACAAAACAGAGGAGTCAGATCAGTGGTTTATTTGAGAGCAAGGTGTGGAGGTTGTTGTGTGTGGACTCTGGGAGATAATGGCTTATTTATGACAAAGAAAGAGGAATCTCCAAGGACAAAACTTTAGAGACAGCAGAGGACAGCGACCATCTGTTGAATAGTGTTCATGTTCGTTCTGCAAGCACATAAAACTGTGCACTGTCCCTGTCTATGACATTTTCTTTGGGCATATTTATTTATTATTTATTTACAGTATTTATATTCCGCCCTTCTCACCCCGCAGGGGACTCAGGGCGGATTACAATGTACATATACATGGCAAACATTCAATGCCATAGACACACAACATATATAGACAGACACACAGAGGCTATTTAACATTCCAGCTTTTCATGAGGGTATTCTGGCCACCAGGGGAGCTGTCACTTCACCGTCCATTTGTGACATTGATAAAGTACTTCCTCATTCTTTGCATGCTTGCTGGAGATTTTCATGGTGTTAAATTAGCCTTCTCACCACTCACTCCATATCTTTGCACTTTCCAGATATGTGGGGCTGCCTTTGGCCATGCTTGCCCAAGATGGCTGGAAGATGATTGGAACATATCTGGAGGGCACCAGGCTGGTAAACGCCAATCTACACCAACAATTCCACCATATTGTGCTCAACTGAGACCAAGTGTATGGAAATAGAAATGATGGTAGGTTGATACTAAGTTGGCCTCAGGCCCGTAGCCAGGATTTCGATTCCGGGGGGGGGGGGGGGTGAGTTTGTTGGGGGGGGGGGGGCTGAGTCTGAGTGAAAGAGGGTCTACCCTAGCAAACCTTTTGTATCGTTACCCCAATACCCCCATGCATATGGGATATATTGAGTATGGTGATCAGATCATGATATGAAATAAACATAACAGTTTAAATAATGCACCAGTAAGGCCTTTTCATACCACCATGAGAATTTCAGGGGGGGGGGTGAAGCCCCTCAACCCCCCCCCCCCCCCCCCCCCGGCTACATGTCTGGGCCTGATCGAAATTTATACCTACTCTAATATCTGCAAGCGGGGAAGGCTGAAGGGTGGAGTGAATGGATCCTGAGCAAAGCAAAATGCAAGATTAGGATTAGAAGCAAAAGGAAATGAGGATTCAAGATGAGAGCCACTAATTGGCAGGTGACTCCCTTCCACACAGAAGTCCCATAATCAATTGTGCCACTAAGGGAAGCAGCAAAGAGTACAGCAATGGATATATTCCACCTTCATGATTACAGCTGGCATGACATTATCACTTCTTCCTTCTCCTCTCCCCAAAACTTCATCCCTTTCATAGCACCTTCGTTTCCATCTCTGAACTTTTTTTTTTGTCATGTCAGGAGCAACTTGAAAAATTCCAAGTTGCTTCTAGTGTGAGAGAATTGGCTGTCTGCAAGGACGTTGCCCAGGGGACGCCCGGATGTTTTGATGTTTTTCCATCCTTGTGGGAGGCTTCTCTCATGTCCCCGCATGAGGAGCTGGAGCTGACAGAGGGAGCTCATCCGCGCTCTCCCCGGATTCGAACCTGCAACCTGTCAGTCTTCAGTCCTGCCGGCACAGGAGTTTAACCCACTGCACCACCGGGATCATCTCTGATGATCCTTGCCTTCAACTAATTTTCCTTGCTGAAATCAATATGGAATATCTGAACCAAGAGTCTCTTTCTGATTGGTGAGGATGAGAGAGAGGGCCTTTTCGGTGGTGGCCCCTCGACTCTGGAACTCTCTCCCTAAAGATATCAGACAGGCCCCAACTCTGGCAGTCTTTAGGAGGAGCTTGAAGACGTGGTTGTTCCAGTGTGCCTTCCCGAATAATGATCCCATAGCACTTTGTCCTCCAAAGCACTTGTTTTTAGGTCTGCTCGTATGTCTTCCACAAACGCCACTACCACCTTTATTACATCTGGCCTGGCCATAAGGTTTAAAATTTTCATGTGTTACTGTTTATATGTAACTTATATTAATTGTACTGTTTTATTTGCTTGCTGCTTTGTTGTTTTATTGATGTGTTGTTGGGCTTGGCTTCGTGTAAGCTGCCCCAAGTCCCCTTGGGGAGATATAAAGTATTGGAGTATAAAGTATTATTATAAAGTAGTGGAGTATAAAGTATTATTATTATTATTATTATTATTATTATTATTATTTCCTCCCCATTGACAAACTACTACTGTCCTTTCCTGTTTTTTTGTTTGTTTTTAATTCTTGGCCTCTTGAAGATCTTTTCCCTTCAAGTTGAGATCCAACTTTTTTTTTGTCGTGTCAGGAGCGACTTGAGAAACTGCAAGTCGCTTCTGGTGTGAGAGAATTGGCCATCTGCAAGGACGTTGCCCAGGGGATACCCCTGATGTTTTGATGTTTTTACCATCCTTGTGGGAGGCTTCTCTCATGTCCCCGCATGAGGAGCTGGAGCTGACAGAGGGAGCTCATCCGTGCTCTCCCCGGATTCGAACCTTCAGCCTGTCAGTCTTCAGTCCTGTCGGCACAGGAGTTTAACCCACTGCGCCACTGAGATCATCTCTGATGACCCTTGCCTTCGACTAATTCTCCTTGCTGAAATCAGCATGGAATATCTAAACCAAGAGTCTCTTTCCTCCCCATTGACAAACCAGTACTATCCTTTCCTGTTGTTGTTTTTAATTCTTGGCCTCTTGAAGCTCTTTTGCCTTCAAGTTGAGATCCAACTAATTAAACGCTTTTTACAATGTGTATTTTTCTCACTCCTGCCGTAGTTAGTTATTTATAAAGCAGTTTTTAAGGAGTGTTTGCAATAAAGTAAAGAGCTATGTTAGACATTAGGGAAAGCATCCCTAGCATGTGGAAGAGGAAAGGACGCTACTAGATTGATACAGAGGGAGAAACAAAGCCAAATTTGGAAAGAGAGGGAAGCAAAAAAGCCCAGGGTGCAGTGCAAAGAGAAATCAGAAACCACAAGTGCAAAGGGGCCGCAGCCTCCCCTGGATGTTAAGAAGGCAGCAAAAGTGTTTCTGAGAGATAATAAGGAACCAGTCCAACAGAAAAGAAGACGATCAAAGCAACCACACCAAATGGATTACACGGGCAGCAGAATTTTGAACAGAAATTAAACATTTAAGGTGGGAGAGCAGCAGGAGGAAAACAAAACACCATGAGAATCTCAAATAAGAAATAATTAAAACCTAGGGCAAAGGTGCAAAAGGCAATTTGAAAACATCCAAATAACTAAAAGGCATAGTTCTATAAACAAAGACTGACAAGAATTTAAAAAAAATAAACACATACACAACATAACACACACACAGTTGCTTCCAAGCAACATACATACTTAGTTAAGTTAGGAGAAACAAATCCTTAATAAGAAAATAAAAAGGAGTAAAGAGGTGATTTAGAAAGAGCCACTTTAAATTCCATTTTATGCAAATTGATGGATAAAGAGATTTAAGTGCAACCATTATACAAAAGACAGAATCATGGAGGAGCATCCACCTATGGTCTGTGTACGAATATGCGGATATGAGTGAGAGAGTCTACAATCAGGATGAGAGTGAAATGTAGCAAGTTTAGTCTAATGTTATAAATATTGATAACTCAGAGGTACACACACTTGCAGTCTTCCTGGGGAAGGGAGGAGCAATTTTGGCAGCTCTAGGGGAAACTTTTCTGATACTAGTGTTCTCCCGGGACCAGATAGATTCCCATCAGTGGCCCAAAGGTGAAGGGGGGACCAACCTGAAAGTAACCTAAATTTATTGTCGAAGGCTTTCATGGCCGGAATCACTGGGTTGTTGTAGGTTTTTCCGGGTTATATGGCCATGTTCTGGAGGCAATTTTTCTCCTGACGTTTCGCCTGCATCTATGGCAAGCATCCTCAGAGGTAGTGAGGTCTGTTGGAAGTAGGAAAATGGGTTTATATATCTGTGGAAAGACCAGGGTGAGACAAAGGACTTTTGTCTGCTGGAGCTAGGTGTGAATGTTTCAACTGACCACCTTGATTAGCATTTAATGACTTGGAAGTGCCTGGGGGAATCTTTTGTTGAGAGGTGATTTGATGTGCCTGATTGTTTACTCTCTGCAGTTTTGCTGTTGTAATTTTTGAGTTTTTTAATACTGGTAGCCAGATTTTTTTCATTTTCATGGTTTCTTCCTTTCTGTTGTTTTGCTGTTGTAATTTTCGAGTTTTTTAATACTGGTAGCCAGATTTTGTTCATTTTCATGCTTTCCTCCTTTCTGTTGAAATTGTCCACATGCGTACCACTCTAACAACCACCATGTCAGACTACACAGAGAAGCCATGAAATCCACAAGCATGTGGACAATTTCCAACAGAAAGGAGAAACCATGAAAATGAACAAAATCTGGCTACCAGTATTAAAAAACTCAAAATTACAACAGCAAAACAACAGAGAGTAAACAATTCAGGCACATCAAATCACCTCTCAACAAAAGATTCCCTCAGGCACTTCCAAGCCATTAAATGCTAATCAAGGTGGTCAGTTGAAACATTCACACCTAGCTCCAGCAGACAAAAGTCCTTTGTCCCACCCTGGTCATTCCACAGATATATAAACCCATTTTCCTAGTTCCAACAGACCTCACTACCTCTGAGGATGCTTGCCATAGATGCAGGCGAAACGTCAGGAGAAAATGCCTCTAGACCATGGCCATATAGCCCGAAAAAACCTACAACAACCTGGAAATGTAGCAAGTTTAGTCTAATGTTATAAATATCTGATAACTCAGAGGTACACAAAATAGAAATTTGCAGTCTTCCTGGGGAAGGGAGGGGCAATTTTGGTAGGTCTAGGGGAAACATTTCTGCTACTAGTGTTCTCCTGGCACCAGATAGATTCCCATCAGTGGCCCAAAGGTAAAGGTGGGACCAATATGAAAGTAACCTAAATCTCATTATGGCTTTGAAAAACAATGCACATTTGTTTATTAAATAAATGTGAAATACCATCCCTGCTGCTCCTAGACATTTCCAGGAGATGCAGTTCACAAAAACACACATACAAATTGTTGTGTTTTTTTGGGGTTTTTTGCCAGAACATAAATTGTCTGGAAGAGTAGAATCAAACCTAACATAACCTTGCCATAGTGCAACTATTTGTGTTCATGTGAATATGTTAAAAAATACTGGAATGGGGGTATATACCTGGATCTGTACTTTCAGATACTTAGCATTTATCAGCTGCTGTTGTTGATACAGATGTACAAGGGTTGAATGAAAAGTAATGCCTCCACCTTCGTTACTTGGGTTTAGATAATAAATCAAATGCAGGAATAATCCTTAGAATGTGCTCTTTAATTACCACTATTCACTTTTCCACATAATCACCAGACAATTGGAGCCCCCGGTGGCGCAGTGGGTTAAACTCCTGTGCTGGCAGGACTGAAGACCGACAGGTCGCAGGTTCGAATCCGGGGAGAGGCGGATGAGCTCCCTCTATCAGCTCCAGTTCCTCATGCGGGGACATGAGAGAAGCCTCCCACAAGGATGATAAAACATCAAATCATCCGGGCGTCCCCTGGGCAACGTCCTTGCAGATGGCCAATTCTCTCACACCAGAAGCGACTTGCAGTTTCTCAGGTCACTCCTGACACGACAAAAAAAAAAAAACCCAGACAATTGGACACATTTCTGCCCATGATGAACAAGTTTTCTGAAGCCATCAAGGAATAAGTCGACACTTTGTTTCCACAACCAGCATCTCACAGTTCTCTCAACATCTTCATCAGAAGCATAATGATGTCCCCGCAGATCTTCTTTCATTATCGGGAACAGATGGAAGTCAGACGGTGCTAAATCTGGACTGTATGGAGGATGTCTCACGGTGGTGAGATCCAGTCTCTGAAGTTTCAAGTCTGTGCACTTTCATTTCAGGTGTCATCATCCTGGGTGCCCATCGTGCACAGATCTTCCGATAGACAAGCAAAGCAATAATGTGACCCACACGTTCTTGTAAAATGCCGATTATGTTTGAAATTTCTCTCTGAGTTATACAACGATCATCCTGAATCAATCTGTCAACGGTTTCCTTGTGAAACTCGGTGGTTGCTATCACAGGAAGTCCAACTCTTTGTTTGTCACGCAAGTCAGATGTTCCCATCTCAACATCTTTAGACTTACTCGCCCAATGACGCACAATACTCACATCAACACAATCACCATAAACAGCTTGCATTCTCTGATGAATTTCCTTTGGGGTGACACCTTCTTCTGTCAATTCAATGACTGCACGTTGCTTAAGTTGCATTGACTGACCGTCTGCGCAGGGTTCCATACTTTGCACTTTAACAACACAACCATTCAATGCTAAGTAGGCTTGGGCGGTTTCGTTCGTTAATTTCGTAATTCGTTATTAATTCGTATTTAAATTAGCTTACGATCCAATATTGAGCCATGCAGGAATAGTGTGAGGAGTAAATTAGATTCGAAACAATTTTTTCAATTTATTTCGTAATTATTTTGTTATTATTTCGTAATTATTTCAATTCGTAATTATTTTGTAATTATTTTCGCATGTCTGGTGCAAGTTTTATAGTTGTTGTTTGTTTTATCACACCAACAGTCAACAACAGAGGGAGAGGGAAGCTTCAGAAGTTCCCCCTGTCCCATTTGGAGGTTTTTTTAGCATATTGCGCAATCGCGTCCGCCATTAACAAATCAATTCGTAATTTTACGAAATTTCGTATATTTCGAAATTTTTAAAAGGAAAATTTCGGAATTCTTTAAAAAAACGAAATGCAAGGGCCCCCTAAAAACAAAACGAGTTTAGAACCAAATTTTTCCGTGGTTACCCAAGCCTTCAATGCTAAGGCTTCCTGCCAAAATGGAGCTGTAGAGGAGAGTCTACTGAACAAGCCAGTACCTGCCGCATAACAGTACTGCCATCTGTTGAGGAGTTACGAAGGTGGAGGCATTATTTTTCATTCAACCCTCGTATGAAAGGTGGCATTAACTAAATTTAGATTTTCCTTTTAAAGAATGGCAGCTATTAGAAAGTACTGCAAAAGGACTGTCTGAACACAACTAACACAACTAGTCAGCCTGCTTTTTCACCGTCCCGGCAATGAATCTCAAGGGGACCATGAAATGGTTGATGGAGAATTGCTTTCAGCTTCTCATAAAGGGCAGGCAAACACGGCCCTCCACAGAAAAGGGTGTTAATTTTGGTTTTTATCGGGTTCTTTCCCCGTTTCTCTACACAGATATTAATTTCCTTTCAGTTCTTCATCTCCAGAGATAGAATCACTAGTTTAAAAAGTGTTAATGGGTTTAGATAATTGTTACAATATTTTTTTTAAAAGAAAATATCTTAATACTTGTGTGTAGTAAGACAGGGCATTTAACTGTTAGGTTTATGTTAAGTTGAATGTTAATTCTAAGTTAAATACCTGCATTAAAATCCTAGCAAGAATGAAGCTGGAAAATGCTATCCATGATTGACGATAATGGTGATGATGATGATGATGATGATGATTATGATGATGATGATGACTGATTTCCCTGTACATCCCAGCAAATATTCCACACTTTTTTCAATTTTCTGGGACAGATTAAGAATCTCCGTTGCAGTGCTTGGTGTAAAAACACTTTACGAAATTGAAAAGAAAACCAAACTACTACTTAGTTGTCCTCACTCCAGGAAGTTCAAAATATTTTAATTTTGAACATAATGAAACTATCATAGAATTGATTCCGTCTTTAGAACTATCTTTTATTTAATGAATAACCTAACTATTCGCTTAAATGTGTGTGTATTTTAGAATTGGCGATATTTTAGCATTTTAAATCTCTGCATGTTGAAATTGTTTTAATGATTGTTTTAATTATGATAAGCTGCTCTGAGTCCCCCCACCCACCCACCCGAGGTGAGAAGGACAGGGTATAAATGCTTGAAATTTATTAAAAACTAGCCGTCCCCTGCCACGTGTTGCTGTGGCCCACATGGGGGTTCTGTGTGGGGGGTTTCACCCAATTCTATCGTTGGTGGGGTTCAGAATGCTCTGTGATTGTAGGTGAACTATAAATCCCAGCAACTACAACTCCCAAATGTCAAGATTCTATTTTCCCCCAAACTCCACCAGTGTTCACATTTGAGCATATTGAGTATTCATGTAGAGTTTGGTCCGGATCCATCATTGTTTGAGTCCACAGTGATCTCTGGATGTAGGTGAACTACAACTCCAAAATCAAAGGACACTGCCCACCAAACCCTTCCAGTACTTTCTGTTGGTCATGGGAGAACTGTGTGCCAAATTTGGTTCAATTCCATCGTTGGTGGGGTTCAGAATGCTCTTTGCTTGTAGATGAACTATAAATCCCAGCAACTACAACTCCGAAATGACAAAATCAATTTTTTTGAGTGAAGGACATACATTGGGTTGTTAGGTGTATTGTGTCCAAATTTGGTGTCAATTCGTCCAGTGGTTTTTGAGTTCTGTTAATCCCACAAATGAACATTACATTTTTATTTATATAGATGTATGTATTTGTTTCCATGTATCTATCTATACATGTGTGCAAGTGTGTGGATCCAGACACTCTGAAGAACCTCATCCCAGTATATATTGACTTAAACACAATATTCTAAAAGCATCAGATCACACCTGATTTCTTCTGGCCTAGCAGTTTTGATATAATAATAATAATAATAATAATAATAATAATAATAATAATAATAATAATAATATCCACTTTTATTTCCCACAATGCCCCAACATTATTAACTTCTGTCTGGGTCATCATGAGGAATTTACATGGCAGCCAGATACCCAGTTTTCCTCCTCCTATTCTAAATATAAGACTACCAGAGTCTATTTACAATTAGTGCGTCCATATGACAGCATTTTACTCATAGCCCTTCAAACATTGGGCTGGTGCTGTATGGGTGTATGCACACATATGTGCAGACACAGACTCATGCAGACTGAAGAGACATCTGAACATGACTGTGAGAGTTGTTCAGCAGTGCAACTCTCTGCCCCACGGTGTGGTGGAGGCTCCTTCTTTGGAGGCTTTTAAACAGAGGCTGGATGGCCATCTGTCGGGGGTGCTTTGAATGCAATTTTCCTGCTTCTTGGCAGGGGGTTGGACTGGATGGCCCATGAGGTCTCTTCCAACTCTATGATTTTATGATTCTATGACATTTCATGCCTTCATGGAACAGGAGGCATGACATAGTGTGTCATGAAAGCCTCTTACCTGAGCCACACTTAACTTATCAAGGGAACTGTCAACGCAAGGCAAGCCCATCACTGGAGCACTGGGCAGACTTTCAAGAGGGGGTGCTTTCTTGGTTGCTGGTGGAGTACTCTGGAAATTGTTGACCACACAAGTCACCTGCCACAAAAAGAAAGTAGGAGGCTGAAACCATGTTGTTCCTACTCCCAAGCAACACTATGCTCAGTGTTCCAAATGAAGCACAATATCAAAGGCAAAGCTTTGCATTGGATTCCATTTTCTGCTAATCATTGTCTTCCTTTAGGACTTCATCCCACAAGTGGGGGGAAAGTGGGGGAAAGCAGAGGGAACTGTCTTACCCTGTTCCCTCTTTCTCCATCTTCTGGGAAGACCAGCTATCCCATGTCCATTCTGAGTCAATGTCTGTCTTTCCCCTGCTTTCTCCCACTTTCTTCCACTTTTCTCTAGCTCCTGAAGATGGATTTAGAGCTCCTTTTCCATGTGTTGTAGAAATGGAGCCCCACTGAGTCCCACCAGAAGAATCCTAATTTCATGTGATGGAACACCATTTCCAAATTGCATGGAAATAGAGCCCTAAACCATGGAATGAAGTCTTTAATCAAATGATGAGGGAATCTCTTTCAGCCAGAGGCTAAGGGCGTCATCAGACGTAACAAGAAGAATGTTTTCTCCCCACTTCTCTCCATTGCTAGAAAGAGTCCCACAGAGCCCATCAAACGAGGCTGGACAACTTCCATCAGTTCTAGCAATGGAGTGAAACAAAGCTCAGAGTAGTCCTGGAGGAGTTGAGTATTTACTGGACTCCTTATTGAGCAATGCAAGGAGAAAGAGAGGGAAGACAAATCTGAAAGAGAAAATGCCGTGGGAAGGCAAAGGATGAGTGGGAACAGAGTCTGATGGTTCCCTCTGTTGTCCCACACTTTCCCATATTTTCCCCCACTGACCCACACTTTACCCCTGCCCATCTGATGAGGTCCTTAGATTAAATCTGCAAATGTAGAGGGATGACTTTATTTGGCCTCTGACAGATTTGAACTTGTTTTCTATCTGACCTTTCTCCAAGTCAGCTCTCTCTCTGTCTCCCAACCATGGTTTATGCACTCTGGCATCCCCTAGCAGACCGTTTTGAAGGACCTTCAATAAACAGAACGGCCACTTACCAGGAAAGCGGCAATGGCCCCACCAGTAAGAAAACCTGCCAGCACATCGGACCAGTGGTTTCGGTACTCGGCAACTCGCACGACGCCCACCAGGAAGGCTGGACATAGGAGCGACAGGCACAAGGAAGGCTTGGCTAGGCGGGAACCCTTCAGCCGGAAAACTAGGGTGACATACATCTGGAGGAAGACAGGGGTGGAGGTTTGGGGGAAGCAAGAGGGTTGGAGGGTTGACAATAGAACTCATATCTCTCCTCTGAATATATGTGGGTTGGATGAAAAGTAATGCCTCCACCTTCGTTACTTGGGTTTGGATGGCAATATTTTAATAAATCAAATGCAGAAATAAACCTTAGAATGTGTTCTTTAACTACCAGTATTTGCTTTTCCACATAATTACCAGACAACTGGATAATTTTCTGCCAATGATGAACAAGTTTTCTGAAGCCGTCACGGAAGAAGTCAACACTCTGTTTCTGCAACCAGCATCTCACAGCATTGACCGACCGTCTGTGCAGGGTTCCATACTTTGCACTTTAACAAACACAACCGTTCAATACTAAGGCTTTCTGCCAAAATGCAATTGTAGATGTGGTTGTTCCAGTGTGCCTTCCCAGAATAGGAAACTCCTAGCATCATGTCCCAATTGCATTTTACTAGAGATTTAAGATTGTCTGCACACCGCACCTATCTCCAAAAACCTATCCATCTCACCTGTCGTGTTCAGCATTTTAAAATTTTAATCATTACATTTGGCCCGGCCTTAGTCATGGTGTTATTGTCTAATGTTTATTGCTATTGTTTTAATGTTTATTGTTTGTTTTATGAGTTTATTTATTGTTGTATTTGTTATGCTGTTGTTTTATTGATGTGTTGGGCCTCAGCCTCTTGTAAGCCGCACCGAGTCCTTCGGGAGATGTTAGTGGGGTATAAATAAAGGTTGTTTATTATTATTATTATTATTATTATTATTATTATTATTATTATAGAGGAGAGTCTACTGAGCAAGCCAGTACCTTCCGCATATCAGTACTGCCATCTGTTGAAGAGTTATGAAGGTAGAGACATTACTTTTCAGTCAACCCTCGTCGCAATAACAGACCATCAAAAGTAATGATGTGCAGGGTTGGTAATCCATAAGTAGCTACAATATGACTGGAGAATTCATAGGAGGCTGTTTGAATTTTAAAATCATGGAAGGAGGACTACCTCCTATTTCCACTTCCATCACAGGTAGGTTAATGTTGTGCACTTTGTATATTGACCTGGTTGTAAACCGCACTGAGTCGCCTACGGGCTGAGAGAGTGCGGTATACAAATAAAGTAAATAAATAATAAATAATATGTTTGGAGGTGACATGGAAAGAGACTTCTTGATGACTGCTTCCAAGTTATGGATTCCCTTCTTTATGATGATATGTTGACTCCATTTCTCCTCTCTTTCTGCCAGTAGGCAAAGAACTTTTAAACCATCATCATTATGTTTTCATGGCTGTTAACACTGTTGTAAACCAATGTTTACAAAATAATTGCATATGTAATGGTTTTTAATTTTGTTTGATGCCTTGTTTTAACTGCATCCTTGATTAATTTACAATGTAAGGCACTGTGGGAGAAAGGCAGGATATAAATAAAAAATAAAAAGCTGAGAACAAGTGAATTGCCAAGGAAGAGCTAGTGTTTTCACATGGGAAAGAACTGTCAGGGTTTCAAGTTTCATGAGACATCTGCCAACACAAACAACTGCATTGGTCTTGCTGTCAAAATACAAAGCTAATTGGAAACTTATCTGTCTCCATCTTTCCTGCCTCGTTTTTTAGCACTCCACTTCACACAACATGGCAGTGAAACATGGAAAAACGAGCTGAATCAAACTGTGCCTGTAATGTGAATGGAACATGGTGTATAATGAAGGACTCATGCCTGACCTCCATGTGATTCATGCCTTAGTGAACAGTGTAGGAAGCAGGGTGAGGACGCCTCTCCAACACCTGCTCATGTAGCCTTCCAAAGAGGTTTGGTCTGAAACACTGGTGGGAACTGTATGATCAATGAGATGTTATTAAATGGCAACACTCAGAAGTCTTGGCCAGCAGAACCAATGGGGAAGCATGCTTGGAGATGAAATCCGACCACATCTGGAGAGTTGCAGGTCTCACACATTAGATGATAATAATAATAATAATAATAATAATAATAATAATAATAATAATAATAACAACAACTTTATTTATACCCCGCCACCATCTCCCCAAGGGACTCGGAGCAGCTTACATGAGGCCAAGCCCAACAACACATCAAAAAAGCAAGCAAGAATAAAAATAACAAGTAATAAACAAAATAAACAATGCAGTTAATATAACTTACAGGTAGACAATAACACATAAGAATTTAAAATCCTCTAGCTGGGCCATATGTAATAGTTAAAACTTAAAAAATAAATGCTGGGCATGAACAGAGGATGTATCTAGTAGGAGGGTTTTAAACCAAAAGTAGAGAACAACCCAATGGGTAATTAAAGTGCTTCTCAGGGTATTTTGCAGGGGATTGTTTCCTTTATTCAGGGAAGGCACACTGGAACAGCTACGTTTTCAGGCTTCTCCTAAAGACTACCAATGGAGGGGGCTTGTCTGATATCCTTGGGGAGTGAGTTTCAGAGTCAGGGGGGCAACAATGGAGAAGGCCCCTCCCCCGTCCCCACCAATCATGCCTGCAAGGGGGGTGGGAGCGAGAGCAGGGCCTCCCCAGATGAATGAAGAGATCGTGTGGGTTTGTACACAGAAATGCCGTCATGCAGGTAGGTGGGTCCCAAACCGTTCAGGGCTTTGTAGGTCAGAACCTGCACCTTGAATTGGGATAGAAAATGAACGGCATCCAATAGAGCTCCTTGAACAGAAGGGTTGACTGCTCCCTGTAAGTCGCCCCAGTAAGTAGCCTGGCTGTCGCCCATTGGATCATCTGAAATAAAGTAGTAGTAGTAGTAGTAGTTGTTGTTATAACAGTGGAAACCATGCCTCGGAGTGTGATGGAAGATGGAGACGGGGTATAAAATAAAGTTGTTGTTGTTGTTGTTGTTGTTGTTGTTGTTGTTGTTGTTATAACAGTGGAAACCATTTCTCAGAGTGTGATGGAAGATGGAGATGGGGTATAAAAATAAAGTAGTAGTAGTAGTAGTAGTAGTTGTTGTTATAACAGTGGAAGCCATGCCTCTGAGTGTGATGGAAGATGGAGACGGGGTATAAAAATAAAATTGTTGTTGTTGTTGTTGTTGTTGTTGTTGTTGTTGTTGTTGTTATAACAGTGGAAGCCATGCCTCGGAGTGTGATGGAAGATGGAGACGGGGTATAAAATAAAGTTGTTGTTGTTGTTGTTGTTGTTGTTGTTGTTGTTGTTGTTATAACAGTGGAAACCATTTCTCAGAGTGTGATGGAAGATGGAGATGGGGTATAAAAATAAAGTAGTAGTAGTAGTAGTAGTAGTTGTTGTTATAACAGTGGAAGCCATGCCTCTGAGTGTGATGGAAGATGGAGACGGGGTATAAAAATAAAATTGTTGTTGTTGTTGTTGTTGTTGTTGTTGTTGTTGTTGTTATAACAGTGGAAGCCATGCCTCGGAGTGTGATGGAAGATGGAGACGGGGTATAAAATAAAGTTGTTGTTGTTGTTGTTGTTGTTGTTGTTGTTGTTGTTGTTATAACAGTGGAAACCATTTCTCAGAGTGTGATGGAAGATGGAGACGGGGTATAAAATAAAGTTGTTGTTGTTGTTGTTGTTGTTGTTGTTGTTGTTGTTGTTATAACAGTGGAAACCATGCCTCGGAGTGTGATGGAAGATGGAGACGGGGTATTAAAATAAAGTTATTGTTGTTGTTGTTGTTGTTATAATGTTGTTGTTATAGTGGAAACCATGTCTCAGAGTGTGATGGAAGATGGAGACGGGGTATAAAAATAAAATTGTTGTTGTTGTTGTTATAACAGTGGAAACCATGCCTCGGAGTGCGATGGAAGCTTTTAAACAGAGGCTGGAGGATCATTGGGGGTAATTTGATTGTGGATTAGATGGCCCATTCGATCTGTTTCAATTCTATGATTCATCATATAAACAACAATGCTTTAGATAACATATAATTTAAACTGACTTAACCAACACCTAAGAAGCAAAGTGTTTCTATGTATTTTGCGTATTAAATCCATATCGTGATTGAGGATCCAAAAAATTCCCTAAACTTTTGCCTTTACTGTGTAGCATACAATCCTCACAGTTTCTGTTTGGGAAGGGTCTCACATTGGCAGAATTGGGAGCCCCCGGTGGCGCAGTGGGTTAAACCCCTGTTCTGGCAGGACTGAAGACCGACAGGTCGCAGGTTCGAATCCAGGGAGAGGCGGATGAGCTCCCTCTATCAGCTCCAGCTCCTCATGCGGGGACATGAGAGAAGCCTCCCACAAGGATGATAAAACATCAAACCATCCGGGCGTCCCCTGGGCAACGTCCTTGCAGACGGCCAATTCTCTCACACCAGAAGCGACTTGCAGTTTCTCAGGTCGCTCCTGACACGACAAAAAAAAAATAAATTGGCAGGATCCAATGTAGTGTTGGAGCAGTGGAATAAGATTGCAACTTGGTATGAAAGGGAAGAGAGGACAGAGGACCTGTGGCCTCCAAATGTTGTGGGGCATCTTTTCCAACTCTTCCCAAATAGAAACTGTGAGGATTGCATGCAACACCACATGGTAGGACACGTTCCTCACTCATGCCTCAATGTATCCATACCCTTACTTGGCTTCACTAGCCTCATAACAATTCCAGCAGACATTCCTGGGAAACAGTGATGGTAATAGGAAGAAATGAGGTCTGCTTGGGACAAAAATTGCTTAATCCCCGCTCATTGCCTGGCTGTCAGAAGGCTGCACAAGATACTCAAGTGAGATGTCACACTTCTTTGTAATAACAATACTTAGCCTCCAAAATAATTTCCTTTGCTTTTGTAATAGAAGGCTGGATTGACTCCCCACATTTTCTATGTATCCACCAGAGGGCACACGAGGTCCCTTCATGAGTGTATTGTAGGATGAGAAAATCTTAGTGGTTCCCCTTCTTTTGAGTGGGTTGGTTCTGTGTGATATAAGAGGAGGAATGTTGAAGCAGATCCTAGAAACATGGCCTTTGGGTACTACAGTTCCTAGAATTCCCCTGCCAGCATGGATACCCATCCCATCCTTAGTTTTTAATCATTGTATCCGGTGGCGCAGTGGGTTAAACCCCTGAGCCGGCAGGACTGAAGACCGACAGGTCGCAGGTTCGAATCCGGGGAGAAGCGGATGAGCTCCCTCTACCAGCTCCAGCTCCTCGTGCGGGGACATGAGAGAAGCCTCCCACAAGGATGATAAAAACATCAAATCATCCAGGCGTTCCCTGGGCAACGTCCTTGCAGACAGCCAATTCTCTCACACCAGGAGTCACTCCTGACACGACAAAAAAAAATTGTATCTGCCAGAGCACCCGTGGTGCAGTGGGTTAAACCCCTGTGCCGGTAGGACTGAAGACCGACAGGTTGCAGGTTCGAATCCAGGGAGAGGAGGATGAGCTCCCTCTATCAGCTCCAGCTCCTCATGCGGGGACATGAGAGAAGCCTCCCACAAGGATGATAAAACATCAAATCATCCGGGCGTCCCCTGGGCAACGTCCTTGCAGACGGCCAATTCTCTCACAACAGAAGCAACTTGCAGTTTCTCAGGTCACTCCTGACACGACAAAAAAATAATAATTGTATCTTGCGCATGTGGCCCGCTTATTGTGGTTGTGTTTGATTTTCTATTGTATTACTTTGCACTGTTTATTATATTTTATGCTTGATTTATTTTATTTTACTGTAATGTTTACTTTATGCTTTTTATGTTACTGTATTGAAATGCACCTCTGGGCTTGGCCTCATGTAAGCCACCCCAAGTCATCTCCAGGGAGATAGTGGCGGGGTATAAATAAGGATTATTATTATTATTATTATTATTATTATTAGGAGCCCCCGGTGGCGCGGTGGGTTAAACCCCTGTGCCGGCGGGACGGAAGACCGACAGGTCGCAGGTTCAAATCTGGGGAGAGCGTGGATGAGTTCCAGCTCCTCATGCAGGGGTGGCGCAGTGGGTTAAACTCCTGTGCTGGCAGGACTGAAGACTGACAGGTCGCAGGTTCGAATCCGGGGAGAGGCGGATGAGCTCCCTCTATCAGCTCCAGTTCCTCATACGGGGACATGAGAGAAGCCTCCCACAAGGATGATAAAACATCAAAACATCCAGGCGTCCCCTGGGCAACGTCCTTGCAGACGGCCAATTTTCTCACACCAGAAGCGACTTGCAGTTTCTCAAGTCACTCCTGACACGACAAAAAATTACTATTATTATTAATAATAATAATAATAATAATAATAATTTTTTAGCCAATGTCCCTTTGGCTCCCTCCTTCCTTCCTCCATCACCACTGTGTCCTCTTTCCACCCTGCCGGCCTCATGGCCCAATCACCCTTTGTTCCATACCACTGTGTAAGCCACGGCATAAGCGCTGAGGGCGGCATCCTTGGAAGGGAAGGCCTTGCGTGCGGCTGCAACCAAGATAGGGTTCCCAGTGCAGGCTGCCTTGTCGGTCACGTAGATGCTGCCCGGAGGGGGCTGGCAGCCCAGGGCTGTGTAGTTGGGACGGCAAACGGAGAGAAAATGTGGCGTCTGGTTGCCGGTCACCACTTGGCCAGCATTGGCAAAAATGGTAGTAGTGAAGAGGCCAAAGGAATAGATGCCTGCAGGGAGAAAATGAAACAAAATTAAGAGGGAAGGCAGATTGTCACTATCTGGGAATGCGTGACAGTAGCAAAACTGGGGTTGGTGGCCCCCAATGAAATCCTCCTGTAGCGAGGGAGAGAGCCTATTTCTTTATTTAAGGACCCCTTTGCTCTTATAATGATTCAGTTACTTCTTTTATATTAGCTGGGACTTTCTGTGTGCTGTTTATTCTTTGTACAGGCACTGAGACACACACTTCTGTATTATAAATAAACACCGTTTATTTATAACTTCTGGCTCCAACGCATGTGGTTACATTTGTGTTTTGTTGCAATCTTGAGGCTTACAGTCAGTATAATATACTTGGTTTACTTTTCTGAAATAGACTTTCAATGTTTCACATTCACAAACATGTTACTTGCTTTACATACTCTTGACTGAAATTATTTTCTGACTAAAGCACCACTGGCTTTCTTTATGTTCCTAAAACTTGATCTCTGTTTAATTAACTGTTTCTATATATATCAGAAATCCTTAACACATCTTCATAACTGCTTATTTCTAACAAGAGTTCCTAACTCTTTTCTCTCACAGAAGTTCCTAACTGTCTCTCACAAACAGGAATCCCTAACTCTCTTCACAAACAGCAATTCCTGACTCACTCTTTTGACTCTCTAACTGCCTATTTTTAAACTTTGGCTCCACCCCTTTGGAATGTTTAGCTTTGCTCTTCCTCCAACTGCCATTTTGGCCTAGCAACCAGTTCAAATCCTGGTCCTACGCTAATCTGCATATGACCAATCGGCTTCCATATGCAAATGAATCCTATCTCTGCTGTTGCTACCCTGTCTGTGCCTATTCTTACCTATCTGCCATATGTAAACATAGAGCTATACACCAAAAATTTACCATAGAGTAGCAATTTCGCTACACCTCCTTTAATCCCAAGTTTAGTATTGCAGTAACTTCAAACTTTGGTTGCCAATTTAGAAACATAGCTCAGACATCCAACTAAAATGGGCGGGCATAGCAAGCAAGGGAATGCAAACACGGCAAACAGAAGAGTTCCAGGTGGCAGTGACTTTCAATGTCCCACTTTGTGTAGTGCTAGAAAGAAGAACAAAATTAGGGTGGTGTGTGATTTTGGGCTGTATGGCCATGTTCCAGCAGCATTTTTTCCTGACATTTTGCCTGAATCTGTGGCTGGCAGCTTCAGAGGATCACCAGCCATAGATACAGGTGAAACGTCAGGAGAAAATGCTGCTAGAAAATGGCCATACAGCCTGGAAACCACACAACATCCCAGTGAGCCTTCAACAACACAGAAGAAAAATGAATGGGCTAGCATTAGAGTGAGGAATGTCCAGAGGCGGCCCTAGGTAATTTTCAACTGTAAGCAAACAGTATTTTGGTGCCCCTGCCCCCAACCAATCACTGATATATATTTTCTGTTCATCGTGGGAGTTCTGTGTGCCATATTTGGTTCAATTCCATCATTGGTGGAGTTCAGAATGCTCTTTGATTGTAGGTGAACTATACATCCCAGTAACTACAACTCGCATATGTCAAGTTCTATTTTCCCCCAAGAGTGCCTCAAGAGCACCCCTGGGCAAAATCAACTATACTGCGAAGGCTTACTTTGCGTAATGGGTTGAGCCGCCCCTGGGAATGTCCCCCAATAGCAACAGTCCAGCCAGTACTCCACGTCAACAGAGGAGAATCCCAGGTCATGGCCTTGAGGCACAGGGCAAGGTGGGCAGGCATGTGTATGGGAGGGCTGAGGGTAGGTCATCCACCACTTACCCAAAAAGCGGATTATGCGGCGTAGAAGGGGGTTGAAATAGCAACACTCGCCAGAAACAATTGTCTTCTCCTCACGTCGTTCAGGCTGGAGGAAGAAGGCAGCCAGTTCCCCAACGAGAATCTGAGATACAGAAGACAGGAAAAGCAGCTCAAGCCAGTTCATTCCACCACTATGCAGATACTGATGCAAGCGAGAGATTTTTCAGAAATGGGATTTTGCCTTAGGGTAGGTAACAATTCTGTAGATCAAATGTAGAACATGAGTGATTCCAACAACAACAATAAACCTTAAGTGCCCTTTCACACAACACAGCTATTGTGTTACAATTTCATTTTAACTGCCATGGGAACAACTCGTGGAATTCTGGGGTTGGTTTAGGGATGGCCCTTTTGAATCCTCAACCAGAGAGCTTTTCTCCTAGTACCTCTGACCAAACTACAGACCCCAGGACCCCATAGGATGCAACTATGGCAGTTAAAGTGACTGTATCACTGTGTACGAACCCATACGATCTCTTCAATCATCTGGAGAGGCCCTGCTCGCATTCCTGCCCCCATCGCAAGTGTGATTGGTGGGGACGAGGGACAGGGCCTTCTCGGTGGTGGCCCCTCGACTCTGGAACTCACTCCCCAGGGACATCAGACATGCTCCAACGTTGGCAGTCTTTAGGAGGAGCCTGAAAACATGGTTGTTCCAGTGTGCCTTCCCAGAATAAGGAAACTCCCAGCAATATGTCCCTAAACGCACTTTAGTAGTGATCTCGGATTGTCTGCACGCTCTATCCCTCTCCAAAATTTCTATCCTGTTTATATGTCACCTGGTCACGCCCAGCATTATTTTTTAAAATTTTAATTAGTACATTTGGCCTGCCATAGGTTTTTAAACGTCGCTGTGTTATTGTTAATGTTTATTGCTATTTTCTGTTACATGAGTTGATTATAAATTGTATGATTTTAACTGTATTTGTGTTTAGATTGGCTGCAGTAATGCTGGAGCGGCCTAAGTCAGAGGAGTCCTCCATGTGCGTTGTCATGGAGACCAATGCAGGAGAGAGGGAAGTGGGAGGAGCTTAGAGGGGAGAGTTTGAAAAAACGACAGTTAAAAATCAGGGTTTAGGTTTAGAGGAGTGAGCAGTCCAGGTTTAGGTTCAGAGGAGTCAGGAGTTAGGTTCAGAGGAGTGAGGAGTTAGGAGTTGGGAGAGAAGGAAAGGAAAGGTGGCGGAGTGACTTGTGAAGCAAAGCTTTGAGGCTTTGAAAAGCTGGGTTTGGCTATTGGAAGTTTCTCAGGCTAGTGCAGCCGAATGGTGAAACAGAGCTGGTATTCTTTTAGTCTAAGGAGAGGCTAAAGAATAGTTTACTTAGTATTTGATCTAGGGAGGATCAAATAAGGGAAACATCCCTGTATTGAAACTTTGTCTGAAACAAGTGCTCTACGTCAGAAAGATACTGTGTTACTTGAAAGAATGAACTGTTAAAGTTACAAGTATTATTCCAAGTGCAACAAGGAAAAGTTACGTCTTGCAACCACACGCTGTGTACTTAATAAAATTGTTAACTTTTATTTGAAGATTGCCTCAGCTCCGTCTATTTTGTGTCCAAAGTGCCATTTCTCACAATATTACAACTTACATCACGTGGTGGCAGAAACGCAGGGAAAAGTAACCAAATAAATCTACATTCTTCTCTCCAGTCACGCTACAGTATATACAGTGTAATTACTACTAAGTTATTACTTTCTTAATAAAGGAGGAGGTGCAATTGAACAGCCTCCCTTCCAACTTGATGGTAAATTTGGTTCCTAATCGGCAACCTCCATTGCAAATCGGCCAGTTCTTTTTAAAATTGGGAACTGGGGTAAAATCTCCTGAATACTGGTTCCTTTCAAATTGGTGGCAACAATAAATCATCCCTCCGCTCCCTTGCTTCTTTTCAATGAGCTTTATTTATTGTTGTATTATTTTGCTATTGTTTTATTGTTGTATTGTGGGCTCGGCCTTATGTAAGCCGCACCGAGTCCCTTGGTAGATGGTAGCGGGGTACAAGTAAAGTTTAATTATAATAATAATAATAATAATAATAATAATAATAATAATAATAATAATGCATGAACATACATATCAAAAAGAAACGACGGAGATAACAATAGAAGCCACAGCTTGCTCCCTGATGCCTAGCTCTGTGAGAAGGATAGGGAAGGCCTGGGAAATTGCTAGTGTTACAACACAGATAATTTTCACACTCAATCTCGCCCTACCCCTTCAACAGTCCTAGCTCTGAGGTCCCACAAAGCTGGCCATTCTGGAAAAATATGCACAAACCCTACAATAGCTGTAGGGTTTGTGTCTGCGATTGTTGCCTCCACCAGCAGTCAGGAGCATCTCCACTCTGGCAATTGCTCAGATCATTGACACAGACACAACATCAATATCCCACTGCCTGAAGCAATTGCCTTATTGAGAATCATGGCAGCTCTGCCCCTGTTTTCAGATCTGGAGCAGATAAGCTTTCTGTCTGGTTTCAGGGCGAGCTGCTCAATTCTGAGCTCTCCATGGTGCTGAAGCTTGCAGCTCAGAGCTCCATAAGCTATTTTTTGTGGATCTGAGTGTAACAAGAAGCTAGGCTCATTCATAGCAAGTCATCATTAGCCAGAGATCGCCCTATGATCTAGGTCACTTTCTTCCCTTTGAGGGAACTGTCATCTTGATGCTGGTGAGACATGACGGCTAGAGTAAATGGGATGGGTTGGGGGGCAGGGTAGGGCAACTGAGGGGCAGGCTACCCGTTGGAATGGAAATCCGGCATCCAGCTTGTCTCTGTGTTACTGGAATGGCTTCAGAAAACTGAAAGAAAAGCTTGGAATTGTCCTTTTGCATGTCTTTCCCCTCATATTTATTTATTTAGAACTTTTGTATACCGGTCTTCTCACCTCAGTGGAGGGACTCAGGCCGGTTTCCAACAATAATATCACAAGCAATCGTTTAAAAACATCACATTCCGTAATACACTAACACATTAAAATACCAAAAATACAATCATATAATTACAATGGCCAAGTCGTCACAATAAAATTCATCACCATCCATCCATATAGCCACAAGTTATTGACTTACTCGTCAAATGCCAGTTTCCAGAGTCAGGTTTTCACCAGTTTTCTAAAAGTTAGGAGAGAAGGGGCAGTTCTAATCTCCAGTGGAAAAGAGTTCCAGAGCTGAGGGGCCACCACCGAGCAGGCCCTGTCCCTCGTCCCCACCAGGCGCGCTTGCGAGACTGGTGGGACCGAGAGCAGGGCCCCTCCAGACGATCTTAACTATCTTGATGGTTCATAGGGGAGAATCCGTTCGGACAGGTAAACTGGGCCGGAGTCGTTTAGGTTTATAGGTTAACACCAGCACTTTGAATTGTGCTCGGAAGCTAATTGGCAGCCAGTGGAGCTGGTGCAACAGAGGAGTAGTATGCTCCCTGTATCCCGCTCCTGTTAGTAATCTGGCTGCCGCTCGTTGGATTAGTTCAGGAGTGTCTAGGTATTGCTGTTGTGCACCGTCTAACAATTCCTGACTTATGGCAACCATATCATAGTGGTAGATTTCATCATCCTCTGAATCCAGTCAATAGGTTTCCATGGCCATGCAGTGATTTGAACCCTTATTTCCCAGTGTCCTAATCTACCACCCAAACCACTATTTCTCCAAACTCCACCAGTGTTCACATTTGTGTATATTGAGTATTATTGTAGAGTTTTGTCAGGTTTTACATTATATAGCTGAGTCATGCACTGCTAATGGGCTTCTATTGGAAATGCTGAGTCATGCATTAACTGTATATAGGGAATCATTTGGGGAATGTGTTCTGGCCTAGTCCAGGTGATTGTGAATGATGTAATCCTGGGTTTGAGTTAAGTCAATGAGTTGGGAACCAATCAGTGATTGCTATGTGTAAATGAATTGTATATAAGGAAGTCATGTACAGTGTATATTTCTCCTTGTGCTGTGATGTTGTTCGTCGAAGGCTATATGTAATTAAAAGAACCTGTCTGCTAAGACAAGATATAACTGTGTGCTGTGGTAAGTCTGTAATGTCATCTAGACTGGGGGAAAGACAATGGTAAAACTGACAATGGCCGGGCATGTGCTCAAGTGTCTGTAAAAGGTTCCAGAGTGACTGCAGGCTGTGGGAGCAGTTGACTGAAAATACTGTGTAGGAAGAAGCTACTGGAAAGCACTGAAATTGTGCAACTGATCTGCTGCTGAATTGTGAAGTTAATCTCAACAGAGGTTGTGCTACATTGTCCTCCTAGAAGAATGTTGGATTAGAATATGGAATGATATGATTAATATACAAAACCTCATTTTTGTTGGCTGGTTACAACCTCATTCTGACAACAAAAGTTGCCTTTTATTTGTTTAAAGCTGCTAAAAGGAGATCGGAGGACATAGATCAGATTGGTGTGCAGTGTAGGGGAGATGAGGATAGTTGAGGGATATATTTACAACTAAGCTACATTGGTTTCAAGCTGATAAATACCTGTATATTTGTATTTTATTTTAAGAGGACTAGATGTATGTTGTATGTTGTGTTTGCATTGTCTGTTTTTGATAAGGTCAACTGGCTAATCAATAAAATTGTTCTTTCATTCGATTAATATACACCTGTATGGGCACAAAGCTCACAGGGTAATCTTAGTTCAATCTCCATGGGCCCTCATGATGCCACTTGAACCACCATAGCAATGTTCCATGCCAAGGTTTGCAATTTGATCAAAGGAACAAGAAGAGCTCCCTGGCTGGGGATTTGTAGTTGAGGGGCCCTCCTATAAAACTATTTATTTATTTATTTATTTATTTACAGCTTTTATATTCCGCCCTTCTCACCCCGCAGGGGACTCAGGGCGGATTACAGTGTACACATATATGGCAAACATTCAATGCCAATTTTGACATACAAACATATACAGACATACACAGAGGCTATTTAACTTTTTCTGGCCGCCAGGGGAGCTGTCGCTTTCATCGTCCATCTGCAACACTGATGAAGTACTTCCGCATTCCCCGCATGCTTTTGCTGGAGTGCTTTGCTGGAGTCTTTTTTTTTTATGGCCTCATAAATTAGTTAATTTAGCCTCCCCACACTTTAAGGTGGTACCTAATTTTCCTACTTGACAGATGCAACTGTCTTTCAGGTTGCAAAGGTCGACAACAGGCTACACAATTGGTTGGAAACCCACTCCAACCCGGGCTGGCTTCGAACTCATGACCTTTTGGTCAGAGTGATCTTAATGCAGCTGACACTCAGCCAGCTGCGCCACAATCCCGGCTGCAACTACAACTCCCGGAGATCCATATGATGGAACCATGACAGACATACTAGAACCAAAGTGATATAATGGTATAGTGTGAAAGGGCTCTTCCTCAGCCTTGACTGCCCCACATGTTTGTTATAAAGGTAAGGTAGAGGATAAAGCAGGAAGAAGAAAGCCGTTATGTATGCTGTGCTGTCACTAAACTTCTTTGTAAACAAACAAAGCATTAGATATACATAGGCCAGGGAAATATTAGATGCATTGCATATCAGGGGCATGGACAAACAAACATACAGGGCTAGAGTGAAGAGAGGGTGGGGGCGAGGGACAGTTCCATCTTGTCTCCTGCGTATGTCATCATCTGGGGACCCCTCCACCCAGCACCAACTGCTGCTCTGGGCCAGGAGACAGTTCCACCTTGTCTCCTGCGCTATTCTAATAATCTAATATAATCTAATATAATATAGTGTATATACATATAATATTTACAATATTATAATGTAATGCAATATAATACTAATACTAATATATTATAATTATATATTTATATTACATGTAATATTACTAATAATATTACAATATAACGGTATAGTACAATATAGTAATATTTAATACTGATATTGTACTATGCTAATCTATATAAATAAAAATGTAATGTTCGTTTGTGGGATTAACATAACTCAAAAACCACTGGATGAATTGGCACCAAATTTGGACACAAGACACCTCTCAGGCCAATGAGTGACCACCACTCATCAAAACACTGAAAAACACAGCAGAAGAGACTTAAAAAGCCAAAAACCAAAAAATACGGTACATTACAACGCATATGCAAAACCACACATACACACATATACACAAACACACATATAAATAATAAAACAAGAGATAATAATAAGAAAATAAATACAATAAAAAAGCTTAAAGTAAACATACAATCTATATAAATAAAAATGTAATGATCGTTTGTGGGATTAACAGAACTCAAAAACCACTGGACAAATTGACACCAAATTTGGACACAAGACACCTAACAACCCAATGTATGTCCTTCACTCACAAAAATTGATTTTGTCATTTGGGAGTTGTAGTTGCTGGGATTTATAGTTCACCTACAATCAAAGAGCATTCTGAACCCCACCAACGATGGAATTGAACCAAACTTGGCACACAGCTCTCCCATGACCAACAGAAAATACTGGAAGGGTTTGGTGGGCATTGACCTTGAGTTTTGGAGTTGTAGTTCACCTACATCCAGAGAGCACTGTGGACTCAAACAATGATGGATCTGGACCAAGCTCTACACGAATACTCAATATGCCCAAATGTGAACACTGGTAAAGTTTGGGGAAAATAGAATCTTGACATTTGGGAGTTGTAGTTGCTGGGATTATAGTTCACCTACAATCACAGAGCATTCTGAACCCCACCAACGATAGAATTGGGCCAAACTCCCACAGAACCCCCATGACCACCAGAGTGGGCCACAGCCATGCGTGGCAGGGGATGGCTAGTAATATAATATATTGTATGTATATATATCTTGTAAGCCGCTCTGAGACCACTTCAGGGTGAGAAGTGTGACATATAAATGTCTTAAATAAATAAATACTACTTTCTCAGTTCCCCTTAACTTTAATCTTAACGGAAGCTGTCCTGAGCTTCTAAGAGTAAGGATGGGATACACATGTAATAATACTCTAGATGGAGCATAGTGTCTTCTCAACATTCCTATGAGTGCATTGCATCCAAATATATCTTGATAGAGAGCCAGTGTGGTGTAGTAGTTGACTACTGTTTGAATCCACATTCAGTCATGGAAACTTACAAGGTGACCTTATGTAAGTCATACTCTCTGTACCTCAAAGGAAGGCAAAGGCAACCCCTCCTTCCCCTGAACAAGCCCTGCCACCCTGTGATAGCACCGGGACTGTGCCGCAGCTGGCTGGGTGTCAGGTGCATTAAGATCACTACTGACTGAAAGGTCATGAGTTTGAAGCCAGCCCGGGTCGGAGTGAGCTTCCGACCAATTTTGTGTAGCTTTCTGTTGACCTTTGCAGCCCGAAAGACAGTTGCATCTGTCAAATAGGAAATTTAGGTACCGTGTATGCGGAGAGGCTAATTTAACTAATTTATGAGGCCATAAAAAATCTCCAGCAAGCATGCAAAGAACGAGGAAGTACTTCATTAGTGTCACAAATGGTCGGTGAAAGGACCGCTCCCCTCAAGAAAAGCTGGAATGTTAAATTGCCTCTGTCTCTGCCTATATAAGTTGTTTGTCTATGGCATTGAATGTTTGCAATATATATGTATATTGTAGTCCGCCCGGAGTCCCCTGTGGGGTGAGAAGGGTGGAATATAAATACTGTAAATAAATAAATAAATAAATAAATAGCGTTGCCTTGCAGTTATGGGAATAATTTGAAAGTGCTTACTTACTTACTTAGGCGATCCCTCGTTGGACGAGTAAGATGGTCTTCCATCATGGGTTTCCTTGTGGGTCCGTATGTGGCTGTGGAGCCCTATTCTTGCTCTGCATCTTCTTCCGCAGTGAGGGCATTGGTTTCCAGGTGGAAGGCGGTCCCGGTCGGGGTTGGCTTGACGCCTTCCTCCTGGCACGTTTCTCTCTTTCACCCTCCACTCGTGCCTCCTCGAATTCTGCAGCACTGCTGGTCACAGCTGACCTCCAGCTGGAGCGCTCAAGGGCCAGGGCTTCCCAGTTCTCAGTGTCTATGCCAGAGCTTTTAATGTTGGCTTTGAGCCAACAACAACAAAAAGGGTACCTGTACCTAACAAGCATAGGAGTATACTTACCTGGATGGAGGCCACTTTCAGAAGATTGTGGATGAAAATATGTACCTCTGAATGCCCTTGGACTTTCAACAGAAAAGAAATTAAACAACCCCTTCACTCCTTCACTAGTGGAGTAATCTTCTTTGCAAACAAACCATTAGATATACATAGGCCAGGGAAATATTAGATGCACAGATGTGTACATGGATGGATGCACAAACGTACAACATACTTTCTCAGTGATCCTGAACTTTGAACTTAACAACTGTCCTCCTCAGTGATCAGGAAAATGTCCTCAAGAAAAAAATAACATTCACAAAGGAGGCCTGCTGCTAGAGGGGTAGTCAGGACAGAAGCACCCTGAAGTCCTTCCACCAACTCTTCACACCTCCATTAATATACACATACCACGTCTCATGGACCCTGCTGGGCTCTTACCGTCACAGTTGGCACTGCAGTGACAAGCGAGTAGACCAGGACTGGAGGGGCTCGGCTGGTGTCTTCTGGACCTGGATAGGGCTTGGCATAGGCACTGTCATAGCAGAAGAAGCCTTGGAGATGCACCGGGAAGGTGTCTGTGTATTCGAAGTGGTAGGCAAGCACCACGGTCCCCGCCATGATCACCATCTGGAAGTAGAACATGGCACGTCAGACAAGAAAGGACAACCGAGCAAATAGGAGACAGAGGCAAGGAGGAGAGTCAGGTCCCTGGAGCCTTGGGAGTCTGGCAACTTCCGCCCCTCTCCCCCACCGCTGCCGCCTGCTACTCCGTGCCAGCTTCCTCGTGTACTTCTTTTCACGCTCGGGTGCCCACTGTAGCTGTGCATCACATCATCATGGCTGGCAGGGGAGGCACTGAGCCTGCTTGACTCAAAGTAAGTCAGACAGTTGCCTCACGCCACTTCTCTTTCCCCCTCCATTTTCTTGAGCACCCTGGAAACTCTTCAGATGCCCTGCTCCTCTCTCCCAGCGTTCCATGCTCACAAACAATCTCAGGAAAAAAGATGGTCAATCTCTGAGACTATGTTTAGCAGGCTTGGGCAATCCATGGTTCTAAATGGTTCTAAAGTACTTACAAAACTAAAGTTCTGGTGGTGAAAATTTCAGAACTCTAACAAAACTCTCAAAATTTCATAATAAATGGCAGTTCCTAATTGGTTCTGTCATTAAAATCACCAATAATGAAATAATAATTAAATTTTGAAAGTTTTGTTAGAGTTCTGAAATTTTCACCACCAGAACTTTAGTTTTGTAAGTACTTTAGAACCATTTAGAACCATGGATTGCCCAAGCCTAATGTTTAGATGTTACCAATGTGGCAGAGACTTGCAGGGAGTGTGGTTCACGGCTTGCAAAAGTTACTTTAAGGTCCGCGGGCTGGATACGGCCCTCCAAGGTCATTTACCCAGTCTCCACTCAGGGTCAATCTAAGTCTGAAATGACTTGAAAGCACACAACAACAACAACAACAACAACCCTATCTCATCAGCCAAAAGCAGGCCCACACTTCCCATTGAAATTACTTGAAAACCACAACAACAATAACAATCTTATCTCATCAGCCAAAAGCAGCCCCACACTTTCCATTGAAATACTATAAAGTTTATATTTGTTAAAATTGTTCTTCATTTTAATTATTGTATTGCTTTTAAGTGTTTTTTGCACTACAAATAAGATATGTGCAGTGTGCATAGGAATTCATTCCTGGTTTTTTTTTCAAATTATAATCTGGCCCTCCAACAGTTTGAGGGACTGTGACCTGGACCTCTGTTTAAAAAGTTTGAGGACCCCTGCTTTATGGACTACAGTTCCTTCAAATTCTGCAGTCAGGGTCCATACCAACTGGGGGATTCTGGGAGCTAGAGCCATATCCAGTTATTTGAAAGAAGACTTTGAAAGGAAATTGAACAAGAAACTAAACCAGATAAATTGATTTCTTTTCTCCTGATATAACAGATTCTTGTAATTCATCCAGCAATACAATTTTCTCACAATATTCCTCAGAGATATGTATCTCGGAAATGATTGAAAATTATTTTTCTTTGAATGGCCAGTAAAAAAACAAAGCATTCAAAAAACTAGTGAAGCAAAGCATAGAATCTTAGAATCATAGAATCAAAGAGTTGGAAGAGACCTCATGGGCCATCCAGTCCAATCCCCTGCCAAGAAGCAGGAATATTGCATTCAAATCACCCCTGACAGATGGCCATCCAGCCTCTGTTTAAAAGCTTCCAAAGAAGGAGCCTCTACCACACTCCGGGGCAGAGAGTTCCACTGCTGAACGGCTCTCACAGTCAGGAAGTTCTTCCTCATGTTCAGATGGAATCTCCTTTTTTGTAGTTTGAAGCCATTTCGCGTCCTAGTCTCCAGGAAAGCAGTAAACAAACTTGATCCCTCCTCCCTATGACTTCCTCTCACATATTTATACATGGCTATCATATCTCCTCTCCTTCTCTTCTTCAGGCTAAACATGCCCAGCTCCTTAAGCCGCTCCTCATAGGGCTTGTTCTCCAGACCCTTGATCACTTTAGCCACCCTCCACTGGACACATTCCAGCTTGCATGTTAATGAACAAATAATATCTTCTTTTTTAGTCACATGGGGGAGCACGTTTTTGAACTTCATATTATATATATCAGGGGTCCTCAAACTTTTTAAACAGAGGGCCAGGTCACAGTCCCTCAAATTGTTGGAGGGGTGGATTATAATTTGAAAAAAAATGAATGAATTCCTATGCACACTACACATATCTTATTGGTAGTGCAAAAAACACTTAAAAACAATACGATAATTAAAATGAAGAACAATTTATGAACAAATTCATATTTTAATGGGAAGTGTGGGGCTGCTCTTGACTGATGGGCAAGATTGTTGTTGTTATTGTTGTTGTGTGCTTTCAAGTCATTTCAGACAGGTTGACCCTGAGTGAGGGCCGGGGAAATGACCTTGGAGGGCCGTATCTGGCCCCTGAGCCTTAGTTTGAGGACCCCTGGTATATATCATAAG